TACAGCCCTTCACAAGTCCACTGCTGAACATAGGCCTCCCCCAAAGAATGCCACAAAGCACGGTCCTGAGCCACCTGCATCCATCGACTTCCTGCATATCTTACCAGGTCGTCACTCCATCTAGTGGGGGGACGCCCTACACTTCGCCTGCCGGTACGAGGCTGCCACTCGAGAACCTTTCTTCCCCATCGGTTGTCGGTTCTTCGAGCTATATGGCCGGCCCATTGCCACTTCAGCTTACTAATCCGTTGGGCTATGTCGGTCACTCTAGTTCTACTGCGGATATCCTCATTTCTGAGTCTATCACGCAGAGAAACTCCGAGCATAGCCCTCTCCATAGCTCGCTGAGCGACCTTGAGCTTCCTCATCCGGCCAGCAGTAAAGGACCACGTCTCAGTTCCGTATGTCATCACTGGCAACACGCACTGGGTGTAAAGTCTCGTTTTCAAGTTATGAGGTATGTCTGACGAGAAGATGTGTCGTAGCTTCCCGAACGCTGCCCAGCCGAGTTGAATCCGTCGATCGACCTCTCGGTCGAAGTTGGACTTACCTAGTCGGACTATTTGTCCCAGGTAAACATACTCGTCAACAACTTCGAGCTTAGTGTTCCCAACAACTACCGGCATAGGTGTGACATGGACATTAAACATGATCTTTGTTTTGTCCATGTTCATCTTAAGACCTATCCGTTGGGAAACACTATTGAGGTCATTGAGCATAGTGCTTAGGTCCTCCAACGATTCTGCCATAAGGACTATATCGTCGGCAAATCGAAGGTGAGTGATGCACTCGCCATTGATGTTGATACCGTATCCTTTCCAGTCCAGAAGCTTGAAAACATCTTCCAATGCAGCGGTAAAGAGTTTCGGGGATATGACGTCACCCTGTCTTACACCTCTCTGCAATTGGATAGGTTTCGTACTCTGGTTCTGTACTCGGATAGCCATCGTAGCCCTACTGTACAAGCACTTCAATACTTCGATATACCGACAGTCAACTAGGCATCGCTGAAGGGACTGCAGCTCCGCCCAAATTTCGACGGAATCAAAGGCTTTCTCATAGTCCACATACGCCAGACATAGTGGCAAATTGTACTCCTCGGACTTCTGTACAATTTGCCGAAGGGTATGTATGTGGTCTATGGTGCTAAAGCCTTTTCGGAAACCGGCTTGTTCGGGAGGCTGGAAGTCGTCAAGTCTGCACGCGAGACGATTCGTAATGACTCTCGAAAACAGCACGTAGACGCGGCTCAGAAGGGAAATCGGTCTGTAGTTCTTCAAGAGAGCGTTGTCGCCTTTCTTGAAGAACAAGACCACCGCACTTCTGCTCCACGCCTCCGGTGTAATGCCACCATGGAGGACGGAATTAAAGAGCTTCTGAAGGACTTCAAGTACCGGTTTTCCCACCCGCTTTCAGAAGCTCCGCTGTAATTCCATCCTCGCCTGGGGCCTTGCCGTTTTTAAGGTGCTGGAGAGCCATTCTAATCTCGCTCAGACTGACGTCCGGGATATCATCGGAATAATGTCGGATAAGACTCGCTCTTGGATCGTTACTCACACTTGCGTGCGGCTCCAACGATGACGTGTACAGCTGCCCATAGAACCTCTCAATCTCACTCAAAATCTCAGGTGCCCCGGAAACGATGCTGCCACATTCTGTCTTCAGCTTTGACAGTTGGCGCTTTCCTGGCAGACAGATCTCTGGCAAAGACTTTGGAGCCTTGGTTCCGCTCGATCGCTTCTTCAATACGAGCTGTATTGAATTTGCGTAAGTCCCGCCGCATGCATTTGGAGATCTGTCTGTTCAGTTGCCTGTATGCTGTTAAATCTGTTGAAGAATGTAGCTTCATCTCCCGTCTAACAGCCATGAGATTAAGAGTGTGATCGGAGAGTTTTTGTGTTCTTCTGCGGCGGGTCTTGCAGAACTTAGCTCCGACCGCATGGACAGTTTCCACGAGCTTGTCATTCAAATCGTCCACTTCATTGCAGTCTTCTAGGCACTGAAAACGGTTTTGTAACTCGAGCTGAAAGTTTTCGGGACTTTGGATTAGAGCACGAGGGTGACGGAGCGTTGACTTCATTAGACGAGACCTCTCCAACTTAACGTTTAGGTTCAGTGTGCCTCTAACCATTCGGTGATCGCTGCCGGTTTTCACCCTCGCGATCACTGAGACATCACTGAACAGTTGTCGTCTGGTCGTCATAATGAAGTCAATCTCATTTTTTGTCGAACCGTCGGGGCTCGACCAGGTCCACTTCCTGTGGGGCCTCTTCTGGAAGAAAGAGTTCATCATAAAGAGTCCCTCTTTCTCCATGAAGTCAGCCAACTGCTGGCCCCTTGGGTTCCGTTGCCCTATTCCAAATTTCCCTACTTTCAGCTCACCGTTCTCTCTTGTGCCTAGTTTTGCATTGAAGTCTCCCATTAACACCGTATATTGGGTTTTGGAGGAATGCATGGCTCTAGAGATATCCTCATACATTTCCTCCACCTCCTGATCGGGGTGTGCCGAGGTTGGTGCGTAAACCTGTATTACTTTCAGCGAATACCGTTTGGTGATTCTGAGTATAAGGTACGCAACCCTCGTCGACACACTTCCAATCTTTACAACGTTGTTAACGAGAGACTTGTGGACGATAAATCCGACACCTCCTTGGGACAGATGGTCGCCCTCCCGGTAATAGAGCAAGTTGCCGGATTCGAGGATTACCGTGTCCTCCCCCTCTCTTCGGACTTCGGATAATCCTATAATATGCCAGCGTAACTTGTCTATCTCTTCTTCCAGCTCCACAATCTTCTCGTCAGTCCTCAGGGTGCGTGCGTTGTATGTTGCCAGGTCGAGTCGTCGTAGGTGGCAACCGAACCTCCACCGGAGATTCTTAGCACACCCTGCCCCGCCGTTACCATGGTCGCCACCGTAGCCAGGAATAGCGGTGCCGCCGGGGACTGGGGGCCGTTTATTATTGTCATTGCTCATAGTTGCCACGCTTGGCGAGCGGGTTGGCAACCGCAGTTTTTTTTTATTGTTATTTTGGCTATTATCAGGAAGATGCTGCTGCCCATCTCCTGCCTGTTTCCCTTTGTCGCCTTTTACGACACCCACGAGAAGATATGGGGTAGTGGATATTCTTAACCGCCACTACACGGTCGATCTATCCTCATTAGGGTAAATTCTTGCTGGAACTTCATCTCTCACAGGACCACTAGCCACGTGTGTCAGCCTTCGGTGTAGTGACATTCTACACCATGCACACATAGTCTTGGTGAAGGCTAGATGGGGCTGGAGTTTGCCGATTATCCTCAATCCTTGTAGCATGCTTCACATTTCTATGTGCTGCTACCCAACAAGCATAACAAACCAGTCCTCCTGGTGGAATCTGAATAAAAGAAAAGAATACAATATGTATTGGCTATTCACACAATTATTTAATTTCAACACTAGATAATTAAGTAAGTTGTTATTGTTACCTCTCTTGGATATATTGTTTCTGTTATTATGGTCCATTCAGGTCCTTCAGGTATAGAGTGGCTATGTGTCAGGGCAAGAGACCGTCAGCACCATACACCTGCATTCATATTCATAACAGTAGAAGCTGCTATGTATGCTTGTTGTTGTATGTACCCAACAAGTAAAACATATTAAGGCACCCTCTGGTATCTAAAACAAAAAATATGAAATTAAGATTTATTTATTTATAACACAACATTTCTAAACAATTTAAATTAATCAAGATTCAGTTATTTCAATATCACTTTTATAGACTCATCCAAGGTGATGTTATATAATATAAGTCACATGTCTACACACATTTCCAAAAACTAAATTGTGACTGTTCTTTTTCTTCCTGAAAAGATATTGTCTTGGACCATAATAAGAAACATCTGCATTTACCTGCCTTGTATGAATTAAAAAGAAAAAAAAAGAGGTGCTTACCTCTCTTGGAGCAATTGTTTCAGCAATATATTGCCTTTCTGCACCCTCGGGAATAGAGTGAGCACACCTCCTAAACAAGGATGTCCTAACCTCCTGATAACCTAACATAAACATTGCTATCATGGCAATGCTGGAGTTCATGATCTCCGTATGCAAGAGCACTATCATTAGACATTTCTTGTATTATGATAGCAAAGCATTGTGAGCACATCACTCCATTTCCATCAACCTAAAACAAAATAAAAAAGGGGTTATCCAGTGTTTATGTGTTTAGGCCAAGATGCCGCTCGATGACGGAAATTATTTCGGGACCCATATTATCGGCAGTATAATATTATTCATTTTTATCTATTACAGAGGCGCATTGTAGGCACGCCATTGTCAATAAACTGGAATAAGTATGAGTAAAAATCTTTTAGAATATAGAACAAGGGAAGAAAACATCACATAGAAATAGCATTTGAACAAAACATCGAGTAAATGCACTGATAGGGGACATACCTGAAACTGAATTTGTTATTTTAAAATAACACTCGACGGAACCCAAATCACAAGACTCAAAAACGTCACTTCTAAAACTGTCACAGTCGTCAACGTCAAACGTCACATCAAACACAACTGTCATGGCTGCCCTTAAAATAGGGTTATCATAACAAAAAACTTTTGAAATGATCATTTTTGTACGCCTATACCCTTTTTCAAATTAATTTCTTAGTATTTTTATGAAATTCCTCAATTTTTTTCCTATTTATCTATGTAGTGGTAGCCATAGTGGTGGCCCAAAATCGAATATCTCTTTTATTATTGAACTCCTCTACTACGCAAATAAGGTAATGTAAAACTTAATACGAGTTGGCTGTATGATCATCAACCTTTGCCTTTATACATAAACAAGATTTACTTTGACAGTTTTAAATCAATGTCAAAACTCAAAATTTGTAAGAAAAAAAAAAAGCGCGGGAACCTTGAAACGTGATAGGCGCCTTTTTTAAACTAAAATTTTAATTTTGTTTTATTTACTTAAAAGGCACTAAACTTTTATTGTTTATTGTTACTGGGTTTCCCCATCATGGGGAAACGTAGAAAAAAAAAGTTGCCGGGAGAAGAAGAAGTGTTTGAAGAAACGACTGAGGAGGAAGAAATTGATACCAGTACTGAGGAAGATCCTGAGAAAGAGCAGCGCAAGTATAAGCCGTACTTTGTATCTGACTACAACAGGAGGTACCCTGAGGACTCTATTCTCGTTGATTTTGTTGTATTTGTCGAATCAAATGATGAAAAAAGGCCAATCGGCACGCGAGACATGATGTCTCTGTCCACACATATGAAGAGGTTCAATAAAGGCATTAAATATTTGCAATCTATGAATAAATACAAAATAGGCGTTCATTTTGAAAAGCCCTCTCTAGCGAATGCATTTTTAAATAATATTACTTTTCTTAATGAATACAAAATGAAAGCATCTATCCCAGCTGTAGGAACAGAAATAACAGGAGTCATAACCAATGTTCCCACTAATCTTTCTAATTCAAGAATTTTTGGTATGTTAACGACTTATAGAAAGATAATATGTGTTAAAAGGATAATGAGGAAACATAAGAATGATGCAGGACGCAGTTTGCTGCAGCCGACGGGCACCGTGGCCATCACATTTGCTTCTAATGTTTTGCCGGACCACGTCGATCTTCATGGTTGGCGGTTCGTGGTAAATCAGTATATTCCACCAGTGAAGCAGTGCTACAATTGTTTGAGGTATGGTCACTTAGCAAAGTATTGTAAAAATTCTGTGAAATGCTCAATTTGTACTGAAAATCACAGCTACAAAGATTGCAAAGTATCTTCAGATAAAGCGATATGCATACATTGCAAAGGAAACCATCTAAGCATTTCTGGACAGTGTCCTGTTAAGAAACAAAAGATAAAAGAAAATCAGGCTAAATTACACAAAACCCCATTTGTAGACCTTTTTAATAAAAACGAATTCCCCGAATTAAACAAAAAAAATCACAAAGATGCTCTTATGTCACTGCTAAAGAATGATGACATTATTAATATAATTTTAAATACAGTCATTAAAGTATTAACTCTTAATAAATCAAATGAACAAACCACCATATCTTCTCAGCTTATTAAAGATGTTCTCATAGATACAATGAAACCAAAATAGATATTTCATTATTTAACATTTAATATTTTATGGATCAGTTTAACATTTTACAATGGAATGCACAGAGTTTAATTAAAAATCGCTTTCAATTTACACAATTTTTATATGAGAACACCATAGATGTTGCTCTCATATGTGAAACTTGGCTTAAACCTAGGCACAATTTTAGAGTAAAAGGATATAATATTATACGATTAGATTCAGGTAATGATCATAATGGAGTAGCAATACTTCTACATAACAAAATTGGATTTCGTGTTATCAATACATTCTCTGATGACTCATTACAAAATATAGCTGTACAAATACAATACAATGATAAATTATTAACTTTAGTTAGTGTTTACTGTCCCCCTAATTCATCAATTAATTATAATAAATCCAAATTAGATAATTTAATCCAAAGTTTGCCACAGCCAGTCTTTATAGCTGGTGATTTCAACGCCCATCATACGTTATGGGGATGTACTGAATTAGATTCACGAGGTAGGGACATTCTTGCAAGTATAGATGACAATAATCTTGTAATCTTGAATGATGGTCAGAGGACTACAGTAGGATCTCATAGATGGAGGCAGAATGCATTAGACTTGACACTTGTTTCATCTTCACTGGCTCTGTCTTGTGAGTGGCAAGTATGTGATGATGATTCTCTAGGCAGCTATCATTTTCCTGTAAAGACAAACATTACGGTTAATAGTCAAAATTTTCAAGAAACAGCTGTATCAAATAACATAAAGTTAAAATTGGTAGATTGGTCAAAATATACAAATTTAATAGATAATTTAATTAAAAATTATAGTTTTGATTATAGTAATCCTTTACAATGTTATACAGACTTAATAGAACTAGTTAAACAAGCCATGCATGAATCCATACCATCCAATCAGTTTTCTAATCGAAATGGTAACATCAACTTGCAATCTTCTAAAAGAATTAGAAAGAAAAATTCTCTACCTTGGTGGAATTTAAAATGCAAACAGGCAGTATTAAATTGTAAAAATGCATATTTAGTATTTAAGAATGATCCCACAGAACGAAATTATATTAATTTTAAAAGACTACAAGCTGTTAAAAAAATTACTTTGAAGACTGAAAGACATCTTAGCTGGAAAAAACTATGTGAAACTTTTAATAGATCTACTCCATTGACTAGAGTATGGAACTACATTAAAAAGTTTAACAAAACTTTTATTCATAATAACACATCTGTCATAGATTCTAATTGGGCTAATGAATTTTTGAAAAAATATACTCCAGAAACAGATGAATCACCTCTAACCCCTAACTCCTCAAATGATAATCATTGTGATTATCTTACCAAACCTTTTACCTTGACCGAATTCAACTCAGCTGTTAACTCTAGAAAAGACACTACTTGTGGTTTAGATTCTGTTCCATGTAAAGCTTTAAAAAATATGAATACTGTGTGTAGAGAACTAGTTTTGAAAATATATAATATGTTATGGTTTCATTCACTTATTCCTAACGAATGGAAAGAAGATTGTTTGATACCCATTTTAAAGCCTGGAAAAAAACCTCACATTGCAGAATCTTACAGACCTATAGCACTTACATCTTGTATGGGTAAAATATTTGAGCAACTTATAAAATCTAGATTAGAATTTTATCTAGAAAAAAATTGTCTTTTACCATCAAATCAGTTTGGATTCAGACGCCGTAAGTCATCTAGAGAAAGTATTGCATTTCTACATTTAGACATTTTTAAAGCTATGGAAAATAATGAAATATTAATTAGTATATTCTTTGACATTGTTGGTGCATTTAATAACGTCAATCTTCATGTACTCGCCGCAGAGTTGAGGTCTTTGGCCATTCCTGAAAAAATTGTAAAATGGATATTTAACTTTTTACATGAAAGAAGAGTTTTTGCCAAAGTTAATAATAATAATACAATTATTGGTCCTAGGCTCAGTTATAAAGGTGTTTGTCAAGGAGGAATATTAAGTCCTCTTATCTTTATTTTATACATATATAAATTAAACAATATTTTAGGATCGAATGTTACTAATTTACAATATGCAGATGATTTGGTCATATACGCCTCAGGAGCAAATGTCAAAAACTTGGTAACCATTTTAAATGAGGCTTTAAAGAAACTGCACACTTACTTTTCATACTTAAATTTAGATATTAGTACTGAGAAAAGTAAAGTTGTAATATTTAATAAAATTCGTCCATTTAACACTAGAATAATTTATAATAATACATTTTTACCAATAGAAAGTTGTGCAAAATTCTTAGGTGTAATTTTTACAAATAATTTATCTTGGACCAAATACGTGAATTCTATCACAGACAGAGCTTCTAAGGCCTTTAATGTATTAAAAGCTTTGGCTAGTACTAACTGGGGAGCTGATCCAGAAATATTATTAATGTTATATAAGTCTTTGGTAAGAAGCCATTTTGAGTATGGCTTCCTTTGTTTTGCATCAAATAAAAAACTAGTAAACAAATTAGATAATATACAAAATAAGAATTTAAGACTTATTACCGGCTCTATGAGAACAACTCCTATTGTTTCTTTACAGGCTGAATGTCTTACTCCTCCTATATTACTTAGGTTTAAATATCTGAAATTTAGGTTTTTATTAAATATCAATTCTTTGTCACATCATCCTCTTTTTCAAAAAGTATTATTTTACTATAATAGTATGTCTTCTATATCTAACTCAGCCCCATATATACTTCATGACTTTCATGAAGTGATACGATATGATGAACAATATAATATTCACAAAAGCACACATACATGGCCTTGTTATAAGGGGAATAATGAAAGTAAATTCAGTGATATACACATAAATATTGATAAAAAATTGAAAAGAAAAGAAGAGGTTTATGAACTTATATCTACATATGATGAATATCGACAAATTTACACAGATGGTTCAAAAGTTGAAAATAAAGTAGCCTGTGCATTTTACATACCTCATCTGAAAACTGGATGTGGCCTTTCCATTCCCGCATCAGCAAGCATATACACTGCAGAATGTTATGCTGTCTTAATTGCTCTTAAATATATAGAAGAACACCCACATATATCTAATAAATGGTTACTGATCTCTGATAGCATAAGTGTCTTGAAGGCACTGAAGGCAAGAGCTTTAGATGCTAAAACGTCTTTCATCATATATGAAATCAAAAGTTTGTGGTGGAAATTGAAAGAAAATAATTTGGAAGTAAAATTTTTATGGACTCCGTCACATATTGGGGTTCAAGGAAATGAAAGAGCAGACCATTTAGCTAAAAGTATAGTTACAGCTGATATTGAAAGGATAACCGATGTTGCAATACCACATACAGATTTATATTCAATTTTAAAGAAACAGTTAAAAGAAGAATGGAAAATGCAATGGAATGCTGTTTTAGAGGCAGGAAAAGGTCGTTGGTATGCATCAATTAATTCAGAATTAAGTATTCCTTGGTTTTCTCGCAACGAGAGATATCATAACAGAAAATTTTATACAATAATGTGCAGACTTAGATTTGGCCACTATCGACTGAACGCTCATCTTTCCAGGATGAGAATAGTAGCATCTGCAACATGCAATTTCTGCAATACAGAAGCAGATCAGACTGCAGAACATATAATATTTAACTGCCCAGCGTACGCCATTGATAGATTGCTACTCATTGAAAAACTTATGCAAGTTTATGAAAACTCAAAAAGCGTCCCGCGTGCCCTGCAAGATGTTCTTAGGAATACTAAGACATATTTAGCACTTTGCAATTTTATTCATAATACTGTAAAAGAAATATGAAATATGGTATCCCTGTTCTTGAAAATATTGTATTGACAAATCTACACGGATTGAAACCTACAAATAATATAATATAATATAAAGAAGACTTGGCTTTAGCCTTTACGGGTTTCTGAAAATATGAAGAATTAAAGAAAAGACTTGACTTCGGCCTTTATGGATTTTGAAGAGATAGAAAGAAGAAAAATAAGACTTGGTTCCGGCCTTTACACTTTAAAATTTTATATATTCAAAATAAAAAAGACAAGGCTGTATGGCTTAGTTCCTTTGCCTGCTCTCTCGAGCAAATAATAAAAACAACAACAATCAAAATTTGTAATTTTACCCTTTACATTCGTATCAAACAATCGAAATAATTTTACCTTTGGAACAGAAAAGAAAAATACAATTAGTAATAATTTTGAAGTACCGGTAAAACAGTAAACACACACATATACTGAGCAATAATAAATCTTAAAGTACCTATACAAATGGATAAAACACTAACGATTACAGTACTTATACAAAGAGATATATCTTTATTTAGCTATCTTAAGTACCTAGCTTTAGTAATAAATATAACAAACTAGTCTAAAAATACTAAAGTACTTAGCTTTATTATGAAATATAATAGAGAGAACAAGGGTAATAATTTTGATGTGTCAGTACAACATAGCAAATGTTGTCATATGCTGAAGTAATAATACAACTTAAAGGAACTATGTTAATAAATAAATCACTTAAACAACTAGAGTACAAAGAGAAATATTTACTTAGGATTTCTGTCTAAAGTATCTAGCTTTAGCAAGAAATACAATAAAGTAGCCTAAAATTTTGAAGTGCCAGTACAACACAGCAAACAGTCATATGTGGAAGTAATAATTCAACTTAAAGTACTTATGTTATTGAATAAATCACCCAAACGATCAAAGTACAAAGAAAGAAATATTTACACTTAGGTAACAATCTGAAGTACCTAAGTTCAGTAGGGAATATATTAAAGTAGCTTAAATACACTAAAAGTACTTAGCTTTATTATGAAATATAATAACAAGAACAAGGAAAAAGAACACTACATCAGTGAGAAAAATGGCAGATCAATAAAATGCATTGCAGACTGCATTTGAAGAGGCATGTTATAAAGTTATTTTGCCTTAATAACTCTCTTAGGTCTAGCAGTAGAAATAATCTTGTTTCCTTTAGTTTAGTACTATCTTCGCCAACACTCTTCCCCGA